ACAATTGCAACACTTTAAAACATTCTAAGATTAATTAGGCCTAACAGGTGATTAGTCAGGACAATCAATTCTGGGAAGAGACTAGAATTCTTTGTTTAGATACTCAATTATTTTTACTAACATGTTACTTTTACTTTTTACTTAAAGTAACAACGCTACACATGTAAGTAAAAATAATTGAGTATCTGAACAAAGAATTCTAGTCTCTTCCCAGAATTGATTGTCCTGACTAATCACCTGTTAGGCCTAATTAATCTTAGAATGTTTTAAAGTGTTGCAATTGTGATGTATTTTAGTGTGTGATATGATGAAGCTGTTGACGAACTGTGATTGTTTTTTAAATCAATGAAAAATTTTTTTTTACTATCTGTTATTTTAGAGAAACTGATGATGATAAATAGACAATAAATGACTGAAGCCCAGGAATTGATTTTGATTTGGAACTGATATTAATATAACAAATTTTCTGAATTATCAAGAAGTCAGAAAGGATTTAAAATTAACGACCGAGACGGCAAAAAATTGTAGAAGATTATTCAAATGATCAAATGCAAGGTAAAATATCAATCCGATTAGAATCACATTAGACAGCAAACTTTAATAAAAATTGACAAAAATCTGTGGACTGTCACGTTTGCACAAGCAAATTTGTTTCAGATAAAAAATCACCTCAATTTCCAAAAATGTTCCTTTTTAATACCTTTGTTAACCAAAAAGAAAGCCAAGATAAGAGAATCAAAATGGAAGGAACATTTCAAGAAATGTTAAACATAAAGCCATAACAACCTCGATATTAATGCAACGAAAAATTGTTTTAAATTGTAAAAATCGATCCAGTAAAAATCGTACCCCCCAAGTGTAGCCGAACTCTAAACTAGCATTTAATTGAGCCAAATAAAAGATACAGTAGATCTTATTCAAAATCAATTTCACAGGCGTCGGTTTTACAAAGAGGCTCTGCCAGGGGCCCGATAAGCTTTGGATTGTATTGCGCCCTTCATCCCTTAGCTTAAGGGCGGTTATTTCAACCGCATGATAATGCCAAACAGATTGACGCTGAACAGTGTGGCTGAACTGACACAAAAGGGAATTTAAATCGGGTTTTGGTGCATCGTTTTTCCGGGATTTGCATTTATCTCACGTTTGCACTGTGCGTGTTAATTAAGTAGAAAAATGCGACGCATGAACGATCTTGACTTGATTAAGCCTAAAGGCGATTGATAATGGCAAGAAGATTGGGAAAGTGTCTCAGTTTAATTGATAAACAATACCAGAAACAATTAAAATCTCCAGCCAAAGGCTGTGTTGAAAATCCCTCATGCAGGCAGCTTTAAGCCGAGGGCAGAATAGCTTTTTGCTCCCGTTGCTCTTTTCAGAACTAATTCGCTATAGTTGCATGATGTTTTTTCAAACGGCGCAAGAATAAAAAAAGCACAATATAAAGATTAAGACGTTGCAATATAAAAGGTTGGAAGAAAGAAGCCTGTCGGGTTTAAGTCTGGCCCATAATGTGGGTAGCCGCACGCTCTGTTTTTTCACGTGAGATTTATTGAATTTCTCCGGCTATTAGAAGCATTTGATGCCAAATGGGTTGCCAATATAAAGCTGTTTTTTGCGGTTGGCGATTTGAAATTACTTTGAGTGATCGAAATTTTTGAAAAGCAGGGATTATGGTCAGGAATTGTAACAAAAACGTTGCTATCAGAAGAGATAGACTTTTGAGGCCATTCCTTGAAACTCGTGGGTTTTTCGGGTTTTTAGGCCGTCTTAAAATTGAATTTCTTCCTGTCGTTTCGCAAGCACGAGCGGCTTGCATCTTCAAAGGTGGTTTGCTTACGACGGCCTAAAAACCCGAATAACCCACTAGTTTCAAAAACGTTGCTGTTAACCTATAGTTTACTTATTTTTGATAGAGCTTATTAGGGCGATTTAGTATTATTGGAGTATGAATTCCCGACTTTTTAACAGAACCGATGATCATTTGCTTGAGTTTGAATTTGCAGGATTTTTACACTTTTCTTGAAACATTAGACGTGGGCATTGGTTTACTTTTATGAATATTTTATTAGAATTTATTGTAGTCCTCTACTTGTTTTGATAGTGCATGTTCTATTTGTGCCTTTTTTATTTCGTCCGACTTTACATGTAGGTACATTTTATTTTGATCCAATTTATTTGCTTCGTTTCTGGCAAGTTGTATTAATGTTATTGTTCGAGCATTAAAGCACACAATAAAACTTTATTTTACAAACTATGTAGTTTTAAATGCAGGCGTATTTTCTGAGCCCTTTTAAAGCTCTCAAGCACTATTGATTTAATCAGTATAGTTCCATGTAACCTTTGCACTTTAAACACACATAAATGCAGCAGAACCATCTAGAACCCTTTTCTAAAGGCTTTGTTCCATAGACCAGAATATTTAAATTATTTTTAAATGCAATTATTATAATAAAGCAAGAATATTTTAACAGTCCGAGTGAAATTTAATATGAGGTTTATAAATAATTATTAGTTTATTTTTTTCTTTTAAGTATCGTAACTAGTGACAAGATTATTCGAGTGGTTTTCGTAATCGAAAGATAACTAATATCTCGTATGACAAAAATCAAATAATAATTCTGATTATTTAGGCAAAAGCCAACACATTAAGCTATAGCTGATACTTTTGTGAATTTACTATTTTTCCTTCTAATCGTTAATTTCAAAATTATAAAATTTATAAGTTTTTCTCTTGCACCATTCTCTCATATCAATTGATGTATTTTTTTGTCTGTATCTACACGCGAGCATTTACCGTCGCATTCGATTTAATGCGACCAGGAATCGAATATTTCGAATTATTTAATTCGGTTCTTCCTATTACTAGTTCTAATTGCTACGATTCCGGCTAGTAAATTAGCTTTGCTGTAAAAATGAAATGTAAATTGTCGTATTTATTTATGTAAGAATAGGTTTGTTTCTATATTTTTTCTTTGCATTATTACAGTTTCTCCTTTGCTTCACCGTTTAGCACTTTTTCGGGTAGGTTTACTTTTGTTTCGGTTTTTTCCACCACTATTTCTTGGTCTGCTTTCCAAACTGCTTTCTTCTTCAAGCAAAATTCTCGTTCATCTAATTTGATTTGGAGTTTTTGTCGACTGAATGTGATCCATTTCATTTTCATCATTTTCACATCATTTTCCCCCAATATATTTTTATTATACTTGTTTGTTTGACTACTTGCTTGTATCTTAAGGTTAATGTGTAATTTTCAAATTTCGCATTTTTAGTGAGGTGCAATCTAGGACTGGGTAACTCAGTGAATTTTTAGGAGTTGGGGGAGTGC